TACACACTACGGCATCAATGCCCAATCTAAACTGTAAATATTTTGCTTACTTCTAGCTTTCCTACCCTGTAAAGGGCACCTGTCATTCTTAATTTACTTCCCACTGACAGACCATGTTTGCTCAAGTGTAGTGGAAAATCACTGAGTCTAACAAGAAGAGGTTCTTACTTCAAATTGTAGTTTATTGCGCATCATTAGGTCAGTATTCTGATTATGTTTGCAACAGATTTAACCACAATAATCTTCTTTAAAATTTCCCACTTACCCATTGGTGATGTTTCCAGCCAAGATCCTAAGTCTGGCCAGTCCTGAAGGCACCAGTTGCAGGAAAGCAAGAAGATATCCACTTAATGGTCCCAAAGATACTTCAACTGTGATTAAGGAAATTTAAGTGTGCAAGGTAATGAGGGGTAGGTGGATAGTTATAGCTGTTGAGAAGGCTAGGTAGCTATAGTGCCAGATTTTTTTTTTTGTTCATTCACAGAATGAGAGCATCGCTGTCCAGGCAGCATTTATTGCCCATCCCTTATTGCCCAGAGGGCAGTTAAGAGTCAACCACATTGCTGTGAGTCTGGAGCCACATATAGGCCAGACTAAGTAAGGATGGCAGTTTCCTTCCCTAAATGGTATTAGTGGACCAGATGGGATTTTCTGACAATCGGCAATGGATTCATGGTAATCATCAGATTCTTAATTCCAGACTTTTATTGAATTCAAATTCCACCATCTGCCATGGCAGAATTCGAACCTATGTTCCCAGAACATTACCTGGGTCTCTGGATTAACAGTCCAATGATAATACCACTTGTCCATTGCCTCCTCTCTAGGGAATAGGTAAGATGTCTTGGGTCCCAGCTAAGTGGATGGATGGGAAGTTTTGCATGTTGTCTCCAAGGTTTGTGTTCCATCACAGTTGGGTCAATGAATGTTGGTGCATTCAGCAGGGTTAGGGGATGTGGTTCAGATCAAAGTAGGGTCGACACATTTCAATTGGGGGTATTTGATGTTAGAACTGGCAGGTTTGGGAGGTCTGTAGTTATCACAACTGGCAAGATCGGGTTGGGGTCTGTTGGTTATTGCAGATTAGGAGATCAGTCCAATTGTTATCCAGAAGATACAAAAAGGTTTTAATCCTATTAATTTTTGTTAGGTAGCTATTAAGCCTAAGTAAGTCAAAACATTCTCTGACTCAAATTCTAAGAATTTAGGGGGCTTTCTTTAAGACTGCTCACCAGAAGATTCAATTTCCCAGGCAATTCCCACAGAGTCAGCTGCACCATGGACTTTTCATAGTTCCATTGCACAACTCCAGGCTGAGTTTCCCCAAAGACTTTCTGGACATCGGGATACCTGGATCTTAGTTACTACAGCTGTAAGGGAAACTTGGATGTTCAATGTTAATCTTCAATATCCAAATCTAATTTCCCCACCCCAAATCCATGTGATTTTATCATATTGGTCTATGATTAATGTATCCCTCCCCATCAACCCTTATACAACAGCTATCACTCCAAATGTGATTTGGTGTCAAATTCTGTATGATAACACTCTTTTAAAGTGCTTGGGACATTTTACTATGATAAAGGTGCTTGATCAATGCAAGTTACTATTATATTCCTCTTCACTGAATACACCTGTGGCTCAATGTACCTCAAGCTCCACTTACTGCTGATGTGAAAGCTAGAGATATAAGTAGGATTAGAATTTAGTGCTTTTTGTCTTTTCTCTTTCCTTTAAAAGAAGATATTGGACAGAGGCCAAGAAGCGGTGCTATCTTGCCTTGCAAGGGTCCAACTTAAATAAAAACAATTAGTCCTGAAGGTTTTATTTCTCTTTTTCTGGCCAAGGGCCCTGTCTCCATGGCTTAATGGGCTATAATGATATTCTCATATCAGGATTGCAACCTTTTTCAATACTTCCCAGTGCACAGCACTCTTATATGGCTTTGACTAGAGTTGCCATTTTTTTGTTCAATTCTCTTATGGGACATGGGTGTCACTGGCTGTGCCAGCATTTATTGCCCATCTCTAGTTGAGCTGCCTTCTTGAACTACTGCAGGCCGTGTGCTGTTGGTAGACCCATAATGTCATGAGGGTGAGAATTCCAGGATTCTGACCCAGTGACAGTAAAGGAATGGTGATATATTTCCGAGTCAGGATGGTGAGTGGCTTGGAGGGGAATTTTTATGGGATGGTGTTCCCATGTATCTGCTGCCCTTGTTCTTCTAGATGGAAGTGATCATGGGTTTGGAAAGTACTGTATTTGGAAGGCTCTTTGGTGGCCTTTCATTGAGTTGTCATCATTTGATCTTCTTGCTGCAAACTACCTCATCCCACACTGCTACTGGTCATCTTAAATAGCTATCATTTTTGAATATGATTACAATGGTTTCACAACATGGAACCTTGGCACAGATTCCACATCAGATTTTGGATCTTGCTGGTTTTTAGGCTGACCAGGTCATAGGTTGCTTGGGCCATGGGAAAAGATGGGTTTCCTGAAACTGGTAACTTCTTGGCATAATCCCACGCTAATGCAACACCCAGCTCAACAAGATGGCCCAGGGATGTGCAGGCTAGGTGGGTTAGCCTTGGGAAATGCAAAGCTACAGGGATAGGCTCGAGGGGGTGGGTCTGGAATGGATGCTCTTCAGAGGGTTGATGTGGACTCAAATGGGCTGAATGGCTTGCTTCTACTCTGTCGGAATTCTATGATTCTTCTATGAAAATTTGTGTACGGTCTCTTGAAATAATGTCAGGTTTCCTGGCATTGGTGGTTTACAGATAGTAGCTGAATTTGCAACACTACTTGTAATACTAAATTGAAAACCAATGACAGAACATTTGGACTGCTTTTTGTAGAAAAAAGTCTTGATGATGTTGGAAGCACCTGATTTTTTTAAAACATGGTTTTTTAAAGCCTGCATTCAAAACTAAATTCTAATTCCTCAATCACTATTCTGACAATTATCAAATCAAATTGGCACCACAACACTTTTGCCAGCTCAAGACCATAAAACATAAAGCTGAAATAGGCCATTCAGCCCATCAAATCTGCTCCACCATTCAATGTGATCATGGCTGAGTTCTCAACTTAACTTTCCTGCTTTTATAGTATAATCCATGATTCCCCTATTGATTAAAAATCTATCTCAGCCTTGAATGTGAGATGCTGACCAATGAGAAATGGCAGGGGATAATCAAAAGGAAGGGGAGATTATTGTCCTAACAGAATGGTCTCAGAAAAAGTACCATAGTGCAAGGGGATAGAATAGAATCCCTACAGTGTGGAAACAGGCTCTTCGGCCCAACAAATCCACACCAAACCTCAGAGCATCCCACCCAGACTCATCCCCCTTTCACCCACCTAATCTACACATTCCTATAGGCAATTTAGCATGGCCAATTCACCGAGCCTGCACATCTTTGGACTTTGGGAGGAAACCCACGCAGACACAGGGAGAACATGCAAACAAGAGGAAGCAATATCTCTTCTGTCCTGCCAAGGCCTGTGAAAATCTTACCTGCTTCAATAAGATCTCTTATTTTTCTAAACTCCATTACGTTCAAGCTTAAACTACTCAACCTCTCCTCACAAGTAAATCTCTTCATACCCAGAATCAACTTCATGAACCTTCTTTGGCTTCCGTCCAACTCCAATATATCTTTCCTTAGAAAACAGGACAAAATCAAATCTGATTTTGTAATACTTTGGTGAGCTGTATTGTCTTTGATTATATAGTCTGGCTATGAGTACATAATGCAGAGTGCAGGCAAAATGGAGTGGCATAGGGTAGATTTGAGGAAAATCAGTACATCTATAAGATAGTGTTTAAGCAGTGGCAACACTGGATTTTTAACGAGTAGATTATCCGGTGAAGGGGAAAATTGAGAAAAATAAGAGGCTGCAGAGTTTTGATTGGAAATGAGTTAGAATAGAAAACTTGTTTTTATGTCTTGAAATCAGTATGTCATTATGCCTTTAACATATATGCATCATTGTGTCATAGTACGTGACCATAGTGTGTATAAAGGCCTCAGACTTTATCTTACCTTGAATCACTTGTAGCATTACACTGTATTGGGTCTGAATCCATTGGAGTTTAGAAAATTAAGAGGTGATCTTGTTAAGACTAAAGAACTTGAAGGGACTTGACGAGGTGTATGCTGAAAGTTCTTTATGTCAGAAAGCTAAAATTAGGGCATACAGACGAAAAATAAGGAGTCTCATCCTTTAAAGGAGATGAGGAATTTATTTTAAAAATATCTCAGAGGGTTGAGAATCTTTGCAATTCTCTTCCTCAGAGAGCAGAGGGAAGGATCATTAAATATTTTTAGGATAGAGGTGGACAGATTCTCGATTGAGAAGGGAGTCATGAATAATTGGGGAGTAGGTAGGAATGTGGAGTTGAGGTCACAATCAGATTGACCATGATCCTACTGACTAATTAAGCAGGGGCAAGGGGTCAAAAGGCCTACTCCTGGTCTGAGTTCAGGGGAGGCACTGGCCTAGTGGTATTATCGCTGGACTGTTAATCTAGAGACACAAGTAATGGTCTGGGGACCCAGGTTCAAAACCTGCTACAACAGATAGAGGAATCTGAATTCAAAAAATGAAATCTGGAATTAATTTGTCTAACAAATGCCATGAATCCATTGCTGATTGTCAGGGGGGGAAAAAAAAATCTGGATCACTAATGTCCTTTAAGGAAGGAAACTGTTGTCCTCACCTGGTCTGGCCTACATGTGACTCCAGGCCCACAGCAATGCAGTTGACTCTTAACTGCCCTCTGGGCAATAAATGCTGCCCATATCCTGTTCATTAAAAAAAAACTAAATCAAGTAAAAGATCACATTTCCAGTCAAAATTGTGCAAAATATTTATTTTTCTTACACATAATTTAATGAAACTGATGATATTTTCTTGTCAAACATACACAATACAGTCATACAAAAGAAGCACGATTATATGTATATTTAAAGATATATATAAAACACCATCACAGCACTGATGCATCATGAAGGACAAACAGACATCTCTCTTATCCTGGCTTTATAAAAAGCTTTTTCTGCTGAAAATATTTATAAAGACTCCTTGCAAAAGCCAGGATAGGAAGATTGGGAATGACTGTGACAGGTCTCAAGTCTGTGGGGGGAATCCTTTGGAATTTTTCTTAAGCATCCCTCTAGGACTCAGCTTGTGTAAATCTGAGTTCCAATCACACGCATAATTTCCTTCTGGATTTTGGGATCCTGAGTGTTGATGTTGGCATCACCAACTTGCCCATCTTCATACCTGCAAGGGACAATATTGTGAGCGTCAGAGCTGTTGTCTCAAAAAATGAGAAATAACTCACATTAAAACTCTGTTAATTGTGTGAGGCACCTCTAATCTGACCTAGTCCAAGGTGTTAAAAGCATTTATGTTAAATTGGATTGACACTAAATCTCATATGTACTGATGTCTCCAGTGCTGAGTGGGATTATTCTGAGCCCTTTAAGACGAGGACGCATATTTTTAAGGTGAGAGGAGAGAGATTTAAAAACGATATGGGGGCATTTTTTTTTTACACAGAGAGTGGTTTGCGTGTGAAATGAACTTCCAGAGGAAGTATTGTATGTGGGCACAATTACAACATTTACAAGACGTTTGGATAAGTACATGAATAGGAAACATTTCGAGGGATATCGGCTAGGAGCAGGCAAGTGGTACTAGCTTTGTTTAGGACCATGTTTGGCATGGACTGGTTGAACTGAAGGGTCTGTTTCTTTGCTGCATGACTCTATGACTCCATAACACTGCCAAAATGTTTAAGAACCAAACATGCAGCAACAGACCAGCATTAGCCGTAGACCAGAATAGATAACGTGTGGATAAAATCACAACAGTGCAGATGCTAAAAACCTGAAACAATCACAGAGAAAGCAGGAGAAACTCAGCAGGTCTGGCAACAACTATGGAGAGAGAAACAGAGTTAACATTTGGAGTCCAGTATGACTCTTCATCAGAGCTAGAAAAATTAGAACAGTTCTGAAGGGGAGTCATTTTGGACTCGAAATGTTAACTCTGTTTCTCTCTCCACAGATGCTGCCAGATCTGCTGAGTTTCTCCAGCATTGTCTGTGTTTGGTTTAGGTAGTGTGTGGGGCAGGTCCCATCCCTGAAGGCCATTTGTTATTTCATGGTGTCATATATTCATGTTGATTTTGTATTAAAGGTGCCACATCACTCAGCACTGTGCTCCGATCGGTGGATCGGATCAGGTTAGAAGAAGAAGCTATCTTTATCAGAAAACCTGGAGAGGTTGGGCCTGTATCCATTCGCATTTAGAAGAATGAAAGTTCTACCTTACTGAAAGGTAGAATACCCTGAAGTGACTAGACAAGATGCTGAGAGGATGTGTTACTTTATGAGAGAGACTGGAACTAGGGGTCACAATTTTAAAATGAGGGGTCTCCTAATTAGGGGTTGGGTATAAAATGTTTCTCTCAGAAGGTTATGAGTTTGTGGAATTCTCTTCCCTAGAAAGCGGTGGAGGTAGGATCATTAAATATTTTAAAGACCAGGTTAGACAGATTCTTGACTAATAGGGGAGTCGAAGTGTGTTGGGATTGACAGAAAAGTGGAGTTGAAGCCACAATCAGATCAACCATGACCTTATTGAATAGTACAGTAGGCTTGAAGAACTGAGTGGCCTATTTTCGTTCCAAATTCCCGTGTTCTTATGATCTAACAACGTCTTAAACTAATTAAGAGGAGTCAGTTAGCCCAGTTGGTTGGCGAGCTGGTTTACAATGCAGAGTGATACTTCTGAAGAAGGGTCTAGACCCAAAACATCAGCTTTCCTGCTCCTCTGATGCTGCTTGGCCTGTTGTGTTCATCCAGCTCTACACCTTGTTATCTGTGATACTAACATAGTGGGTTCAATTCCCACATTAACTGAGGTTACCATGAGGGATTCACCTCTTGAACCTCTTCCGCCCCACATAAGGTGTGATGACCCTCAGGTTAAACCTCCACCAACCATTTCTCTCTAAAGAGAGCAGCCATGTGCTCTGGTAAGACTATGGCACCTTTACGTTTCAGACTAATGTATTTATCAGATCATACAATGTGTTGCAGACTAATAAATTGTTAGTTCAATACAACATACTGTAGTCTTGTGGTGAATGATGCGGCACTCAGTAATCCTACGTATACATATATACAAGTCACATGGGATCCACACTGAGTTAGAAAGTGGATACAGAATTGGCTTGTTCATAGAAGACAGAGGGTAGTTGTGCAGGAGTGATTTTCTGATTGGAGGTCTGTGATCATTAGTGTTCTGCAGGAATATCTTATATATATTATATATATATTTATATATGTGAATTGGAGGAAAAGGTAGGTTGTCTGATTAGCAAGTTTGCAGATGACAGGAAAATTGGTGGAGTCATAGTCACAAAGTTATAGAATTATACAGCATGGAAACAGACCCTTCAGTCCAACTCATCCATGCCAGCCAGATATCCTAATCTAATGCAGTCCCATTTGCCAGTGTTTGGCCCCTGTCCCTCTAAACTCTTCCTATTTAGAAACCCATCCAGATGCCTTTTAAATGTTGTAATTGTGCCCAACTCCACCACATCATCTGGCAGCCCATTTAATACACGTACCACCCTCTGTGTGAAAACGTTGTCCCTCAAGTCCTTTTTAATCTTCCCCTCTCACCTTAAACCTATACCCTCTAGTTTTGGACTCCCCCACCTTGGGTAAAAGATCTTGACTATTCACGCGGTCTATGTCCCTCAATGATTTTATAAACTTCTGTAAAGTCACCCCCTCACCCTCCAACGTTCCAGTCCCAACCTATTCAGCTTCTCCCTATAAGTCAAACTCTCCATTCACGGCAACGTCTTTGTAAATCTTCTCTGCACCCTCTCAAGTTTAACAGCTTCCTTCTTATAGAAGGGTGACCAGAATTCTACACAGTGTTGTAAAAGTGGCCTCACCAATATCCTGTAGAGCCGTAACATGAAATCCCAACTCCTATATCGACATTCTGACCAATGAAGGTGAACTTGCCAAATACCTTCTTCACCATCCTGCCTACCTGCAACTTTACTTTCAAGGACCTATGCATCTGCACCCCTAAGTCTCTTTGTTCGCCAACACTCTAGTGAGGAATGTTGCCAATGACCACAGTGGGATATAGATGAGTTTGAAAGTAGGGCAGACAAATGGCAGATGGTGTTTAATCCAGAGAAGTGTGAGGTTATGCATTTAGGAGATCAAATGCAAGAGAAAGGTATATAATACATGGCAGGACCCTTAGAAGCAGAGAGATCTTGGAATTCAAGTACATTGCACCCTGAAAGTGACAGCACAAGTGGATTAGGTGGTAAAGAAGGCATGTGGCATGTTTGCCTTCATCAGTTGGGGCATTGAGTATTAATGTTGACAGGTCATGTTGGAGCTGTATAAAACTTTAGTTAGGCCACATTTGGAGTGCTGCATGCAGTTCTGGTTGCCACACTATAGGAAGCATGTGAAGGCTTTGCAGAGGGGGCAAAAAAGATATGCTAGGATGTTGCCTGGATTGGAGTATATTAGCCATCGGGAGAGCTTGGGCAAACTTGGATTATTTTCGCTCGATCGTCAGAGGCTGAGGGGTGGAGTGGTTGAGTGATAGAAGAATATAAAATTATAAGGGGAACGGACAGGGTGGATAATCAGAGTCTTTTGCCCAGGATGGAAATGTCAAGTACTAGGGGGCATAGGTTTAAAGTGGGATGGGGAAAATTTAATGCAGATGTGCGAGGCAAGTTTGCGACACAAAGGGTGGTAGGAGCCTGGAACACATTGCCAGGGGAGGTGGTAGAATTAGATATGATAGCAACTTTTAAGAGACATTTAATCAGACATGTGAACAGGCAGGGAATAGGGGGATGTAAAGGCAAATAGGATTAGTTCTGCATTGCATCATGGTTGGCATAGAGATGGTGAGCTGAAGAGCCTTTACCTGTGCTGTACTGTTCTATGTTCAATGAACACGACCATATTCTATAATAATATAGCAAAAATAACAGCATTTGTTGGACCATTTGGGATTTTATGACAAATCTACAACTTCCATGGTCATAGTCAGACCCATCCCCACAAATACCAGACTATTTAGAATCTATTTGTCAACTTGCAACTTCAACTCATAATCTCAAAATTGCTCATCCAGAACAGTAATGATGCTGCATCCATTAGGCATGTGGATATGCCAAAGATATTGCATCAGGTTAGTTTAGATGGCAGCGGAGAAGTGTGATATCGTATTAGACACCATCAGGTATACATACTCATCCACAGCTACCTGATCCACATTCAACACTAGACCTCAGGAGCTGAGGGGACAGTGGACCAGTTGACATGACACCCAATCATTAGTCAGAATCCAAATCCTGAGATCAGACCAAACACAATGACATGATCACGATTATGTTGTGGACCCTACTCACACAAAAAAGAAGCGAGTGCAGACATGATCAGACACAGGGCAGACCCAGATGTTCCCATGTTTCTGGAGATCTTTTGAAGTTATAACTAAGAAAGAAGGAAAGAAAACTTTACCAAGGATCCTGTTAAAAAGGAAGAATGCTTTCAGTCTCATTGACAATTTTTTTTCAGTGCAAGTTCTTTGGCAATTTCAACTCATATTCAAGATAGTAGAGGTTGCTGGAAAGAACAAATTGATGACCATTTTTCAAGTAGATAGGTTTCTAATGATTAATAGTATGAATAAAATGTCAATGTTCAGCACTATTTGTATCTCCTCAGATACTGAAGCAGTCCATGTCCACATGCAACAAGACCTGGACAGCATTCAGACTTGTGCTGATACAAGGCAAATTAAATTCATCATATACATGTGTCAAGCAATGACCATCTCCAACAAGAGATTCTGACCAGCTTCCCATGACATTTAATTGCATTGCTATCACTGAATTCCCCACTATAAATTTCCTAGGAGCTACTAATGACCAGAAACTGAACTGGACTAGACATATAAATACTGTGCTTACTAGAGCCAGTCACAGTCAGTTAATTCTGCCATGTGTAACTCATCTCCTGACCACCTAAAAATGTTTTCCCAACTACTTGGCTCAAGTCATGAGTGCAATGGAATACTCTCTGCTAGCCTACACTCAAGTAGCTTGACACCATCCAGCTCAAACCAGGTCATCTGATTGACACCCCATTGCTATCTTCGGAATTCACTCCCTCCCAGCGGCAGCAGTATGTACCATTTATAAGATACACTTCAGCAAGGTTCTTTATTCAAAACCTTCCAAACCATTAGCAGCTAGGACAAGGATAGCTGATGCATGGGAACACCACTACTTGTTCCTCTTTAAGTCACACACCATTTGACTTAGAACTGTATGGCTGTTCCTTCAATTGTCGCTAGGTCAAGAACTCCCACAGCAGCACTGTGAATCGACTACAGCACAGTGATTACAGTGGTTCAAGGTGGTGACTCACTACCACCTTCTCGTTATTTAATATAGGTAACAAATATTGGACTTATCAACCACATTCACATTGCATGAAAAAAAAACAAAAACTTTATGCAGAGTTGTTTTTTTTAAGTGTGTGGTGTCACAGCCGTCAAAGTGACACCCTTCGATGAATTTCCTGGAAAGGTATAAACAATTCCAGAAATCAGTCACTAAATTGATGATCAGATTCTGTTTGTGAGTCAGTTTAGTTTTTTTTACTAACACTTAGCATGTGCTGAAAGGCTGCAACCACTCATTTTCTATATTGTACAGCAAACTTTTTATGATCTGGCACCCATGGGTCCAGGAGTGTGCCGGTTAATCAAACATTCTGAATTATCAAGAGATACGTATAACCAAAGTAAAGCTTATGACCAAGCAAAGCTTTGAGACATCAACATCCTTCAAAAAACCCACATAAAAACACCCTAAAATCGATGTGAAAACACAGAGCAAGTAATAGAGATGTAATGCAGAGAGTATACACATCACTGTTATACTTTATTTATAGCATTTTTTACACGAACATCATGGTAGATCGCAGTATTTGAGTTATATGCTTCGTACTGGTTTATCAAGAGTGCTGGTTGCTTAAAGTGCTGGTTAAACCAAAGTATGCTGCACTAACTTTCTCACCTATCACTGCTGTCCCTCACTGAAGCATTGTCCCTCAGCAATTAATTTCAAAATCATCATCTTCATAAGTTCTGAATGATCCTGCCTGCCTCTATCTCCTCCAGCCTGATATCCCAGTTTGTCTCTTTCACTCATCACTAGAGCCCCATGGTGCACAGCCTTCTCCCATTTGTGAACCTTTCACAGCTCTGCACTTGCAACATTCCTCAGTAAAAATCCTCAGCCTTCTTGCACCTTCTTGCGTACAGTTCTGGTCACTGCATTAAAGGAAGGATGTGGAAGCATTGGAAAGGGTGCAGAGGAGATTTACCAGGATGTTGCCTGGTATGGAGGGAAGGTCTTATGAGGAAAGGCTGAGGGACTTGAGGCTGTTATTGTTAGAGAGAAGAAGGTTAAGAGGTGACTTAATAGAGACATACAAGATGATCAGAGGATTAGATAGGGTGGACAGTGGGAGCCTTTTTCCTCGGATGGTGATGGCTAGCACGAGGGGACAATAGCTTTAAATTGAGGGGTGATAGATATAGGACAGATGTCAGAGGTAGGTTCTTTACTCAGAGAGTAATAAGGGCGTGGAATGCCCTGCCTGCAAAAGTAGTAGACTCGCCAACTTTAAGGGCATTTAAATGGTCATTGGATAAACATATGGATGATAATGGAATAGTTTAGGTTAGATGGGCTTCAGATTGGTTTCACAGGTCGGCGCAACATCGAGGGCTGAAGGGCCTGTACTGCGCTGTAATGTTCTATGTTCTATGAAAAGCTTCTTCAAAAACAAAACTGCCTCTTCCACCTTCTGACCTTCAGTCACTTCCCTCATATCAGTGATAACTCCTGAAGGATGTGCATTCTCCTCACAGTTCCCACCCTGATGTGAAGCTCTATGAGATACATTGCTGGACTATAGACCCTATATACGTCCACTTTTTTGGGCCTTCAATAGCTTTGTGTGAATTATAACTATTTGCTACTGAGCCCTCATTCACATCCTCATCAGAAATCTGGAACTTACCGTAAGCGGCACTCTTATTTAACTTAACAACAAATTGCAAGTTGATTCAAAAAAGACAACACCAAGCCAACCATTTGATTAACACATATTAGAGTTCCAGATTTTTTTTTTTTACTTTGAACCCAATTCAATCTAGTCAAAAATGATGAGGTCATTTATTAGTACTCATTCTAACAACTAACTCAAGAAAATGGTGACAAATGTCAATTGATGTGCAACAGAAACATAGTAAGATAGAATATGTGAGCAGGAGTGGGCCATTTTGCCTTTTGAGCTTGCTGTGCCATTCAATATGATCATGCAACTCAGTCCCTCATTCCCATTCTCACCCTTTGATCCCTTTAGCCCTGAGAACTATATCTAACTCTTTCTTACAAACATACAATGTTTTGGCCTCAACTGCACTCTGTGGCAGAGAATTCCATAAGCTCATCACTCTTTGGCTTAAGACATTTCTCCTCATCTTTGTCCAAAATGGCCTACCCGGAATCCTTAGACTGTGACCCCTTGCTCTGGACTTCTGGAACATCCTTAGTGCATTTACCTGTCTCTAGAACCTAAGTTAATGTTCTGGGGCCATAAGTCCAAATGTCATCGTGGAGGAGAGAAAGCAGATTGGGATCAAAGAGGAATTCTGAAAAAAAGACTGGCAGCCAACATAAAGGGAATCCCAAAACCTTCTATACACATATAAATCTTTAAAGAGTTTTAAAACAGAATAGAGACCAAGAAGTGAATTTACAGGTGGAGGAATGAGACATAGCTCATCTATTAAATTTGCAGGTGTCTTCAACAAGGAATTAGATGCTACCCAGAGGGCTCAAAATCAATACGGAAGTTTTGAATAGACGGTTAGTATGTAAAGATGACAAAGTACCAGAAGAAAATTAGTTACACGCAACAACAAAGGGAGCGAAAGTGGAAAATTGGAGAGGCCCAGGCCAGAATCTTTCAGTCTTCCTTGGTCTTGGAGGAGGTGACAGAGCTTTGGAGAATGCCCTTGTTTAAAAAAAGGATCAGCCCAAGTGTTACACACCTGTCAGTGTAACTTCAGAGATAGTAGGAACTGCAGATGCTGGAGAATCCGAGATGACAAGGTGTAGAGCTGGATGAACACAGCAGGCCAAGCAGCATCAGAGGAGCAGGAAAGCTGATGTTTCGGGGACCCTTCTTCAGCAATGTTTAAGAGGCATCTTGACAGATACATGAATAAAAACCAAAAGAACTGCGGATGCTGTAAATCAGGAACAA